TCTAAATATTTAGATTAGACTCTGTGCTAGACATTAGGGCTAATATTCAATTCTAAAATATCCCTATGATCTGCAGCAATTGTTCTAATCCTTTCATTTTTCCCCTTCATGTTAGTTTACAAAACTGGGAATTTACTCATACCAGCATTCTAGTAATGGACAGCTCTGAATGTAATATTTGCAGATATGATGCAGATTGTTATTATTCCTTGTACAATACTACTTCTGTAATAGTACATAGTACCAATAAAGGGGAATATTCATAGTACAAGGTTGAAATGAGGGATCCTTAGCGCTCTTTGAGCTTGGTTGTTTTCTTGCAAATATTTCATTATCCAAACTAGGTAACATCATCAGTGCTACTAGTTTGGGTAGTGAAACATCTGCAAGAAACATCTGGATAATGTTTGGATAATGAAACATTGCAAGAAAACAATCGAGCTCAGAGAGCACCAAGGACCCCTCATAGTACAGAGTAAGCTATGTAGTCAATAAGCACCAACATCACTCTTGATTTGCAGAAACAACATTCCACCTTTATAAAGTTTAATAAAACTAATGGTTTTTTGACCTCTTAACTTGTAGAAGAGTGTTATATCAACACTAAACAATTAAATGAAGTATCACATCTGTCTTAACATCTCGAAAGTGATGCCATACAATCTGGGATTAAGCTTGGTCCATTGTGCAAGCAGTCGGTCTTAAGAGACAGTGGCTTTATGCCGAGATACACCTTTGACAACAAACGCATGGAGCAGGATATCCAAACTCTCACAATGAGGATCATTTGACCTAAGTGCTCACACTCACTGTGTCCACTGCACTCAAAATAAATGTTGTATTTCAACTACTGTACATGGTTAAAGTGATTAAAAATGGCATTTGAAGTGGCATGTCATGGTGAGTTGAAATCCTGGCTAAAATGTACCCTTTGCAGGTGGCTAACGTAACTCTCTTCCATTTCTAATTTAAACTTGGGTGTAATGGATAATCCCACACAAATGGCCAGACCCCTCAAAGAAGAAAACACCTCCTTTATTCAGTAGATACGGCACTGTACAGGAAGCTGGACAATCAGCTCTGCTTTACAAACCACTTGCATTATTCACATACAAACTGGCCTCCCTAATGCCACAAATAATCGTGGAGGTAGAAGGTGGCCATTCCATGCAGATGCAGATGGAGCAAAGATAAGAAGAATACATGACTGATAGTATTTCCTGCCCCACTAACCTTTTGGCTAAGCTATGTCAAGGTGGATGCTGAAGAAGCATCCATACTTAACCAGCACAATTCAAAGCAGCAATCTGCAAAGTGATTCTGCTTTCTACAGGGATATGTCAATATTGCTGGATTTCTCCATATACTAATAAGGAGTAGGCATAATGCTGATCCTAGCTGTATCTGTAGTGTTAAACCATCCTGATCCAATTTGTAGCACTAAACCACAGCCACACAAAGGTGCATGAGTTGTGCATTATAGAAAGGCACCATGACAAGGGTGGGGGTTATGGGAGCAGTAGTATCCCAGTGCCACACTGCAGGCAATTGGGTTGGAGGACGAAGTTCTTTTAGTTACTATTCTGCGCATGTGCGCATGTGCTGTAGAAGAAAAGGGAAACTAAAGCACTGGGAAACCACTGACATGATTTGATGTTCTGGTGGTAAAAATCTTTTTGCACAAAGGCACCTTACAGCAGGGTTTCCCAACCTTGGCAACTTGAAGATGTCCGGACTTCAACTCCCAGAATTCCCCAGCCAGCATTCGCTGGCTGGGGAACTCTGGAAGTTGAAGT